CAAAGTACCCGTATGTCGGTGCCACAAGTTCATCGAAGCGGGTTTTCAGTAGTTGGAGGTTGAAGCCGGTAATGGTAAGCATGCTGGTTTTTTCAGGCAAAACATCTTTTTGTAAGCTGCTTTTTAAAAAGTTAATATATTGTTTTAGTTATAGTGTGTGTTATTCCATTTCTGAACTGTGAAAGTCCAAACCAACAGCTTGGTAATCCCACTTGAGGCTTATGTCATCATTTCTTAATTAGTCCCAGTTATACCGTACACCTTTGTAAAATGTGGAGGAAGCTAGACGGTAGCCATCTTGAGATGAGTTGAGTTGAGTTATTCTGAGGTAAACGGACACCCATTGACTAGTTTAATCAAAATCTGTTTGGTAGTTCACAATAATTTTTTGCAAACATCACAGATAAATGAACACATGCACACTCTTAAAAAAGCACAAACGTCTTTGCCCAGCCTTTGCTTTTCAGCAGCGGGCAATAATTGCGAAGATCAGCAACAGCTTTAAACAACAGATTTCTAATTACTTTCTTTCAAATCAAAGAGTTCAGTATATTTATCACTCTGTCAAATGCAACCTGAGCAGCTGCCTATGTTTACCTCAGCTTTTAAATAATTAATCAGTGAGATATAAACCATTCATTCCAATTAACAATCTCATACTTACCTGCCAGAACAAACACGTGCCTGACAGATCCACGAAAAGATGTCTAATAACAAAAGCTGTTCCACTTGCTGTTAGTACTGTTCCGGTTTATGACTACAGCATTAGTTTCCTGCTCTAATCATAAACACTGAATTAATTTGATGTGTTTCTGCAGTCACAACAGCTTGCAGGCTGCTGGAGAAGCCTTAGGGATGGTTAAATAATCTTTCTAAAATGCTACACTTGGAAATAAAAAATGTGATTGCAAATCTCTTAATTGCATCATTCACTTATTGTAGACCCTGCTCATGGCTTCTTAGTTCTACAGCTTGACAAGAGGGAAACAATCCAAGTGTTTAATAACACGAAGTGTTGCTGAGCTGCTGCCAAAGGAACTGATTATGTTGTCTCAACCAACAGGGTTGAGCCAGTTCACTGAAAAGCTGGATTTGTGTGCTCAAAAGGCTGGCGTGAGAAAAAAGGGATGATCAGAAGGTAATATCCTCAGGGATGCCGGCTACATTGCTTTAAATAAAATTTCACAGTTTCCAGTGGAAATATCAAAATATACATAAGTAAATGGACATCCTATCCATCGACACGTTTCTGGCAGAACGGGTTAAATGCTGAAAATAAGATGAGCAAACACCAGCACGCAGAACCCTGTTCCTAAAATATTTATTGTTCTGACACAAAGTATTTGCCACAGCTTCTCGCAGAGCCTGTGGACTCTAAGAATTCTGCAGACGTTCATATTAGCTAAAGACAGATTATACAACAGTTCAAAAACCTTGAGAATATTACCGTTGACGTTTGCGTGCATTACACAGATAACAGCAAATAAATGCTAAACTCAGTTTTTATGAGAAGATGTAAAAATCAGAGTTTCTGTGCTTTGTGGACTCTGATACTTTAGCTTGTTGAGAGCAGAGAAATAAGAACACACACCAACACACACACACACATGTTTGCTTGAACAGGGAAACAGTAGCTGCAGGGGTTGGCGAGCGGTGTGTGTGTGTGTGTGTGTGTGTGTGTGTGTGTGTGTGTGTGTGTGTGTGTGTGTGTGTGTGTGTGTGTGTGTGTGTGTGTGTGTGTGTGTGTGTGTGTGTGTGTGTGTAGAGGGGGGGTAGTGCACAAAAGAAGTTTGAAGTGGGACAGAAAGGGATTCTGGCCAGCTGAATCAAAGCAGGATGAGTGGAGAAGAGTCAGGGGGTGGGGACCTTGTGAAGGTCTGCCAAGGGAGCAGAGTGTAGGATGGAGGTCGGGGTGGGGAACACGGGCTACACAAAAAACACAAATCCCACGTTCGAAAAGCATTCTGGGCACATTCCTGCACATCAAGCACACCATGCGTTCAAGAACTTGGGAAGCAACAACAAAAGACACCAAACAGAAACAGGTGGGGCCATCTCCATGGTTGGGTGTGACCACAAAGCAGGAAAGTTCAATCTACTAAATATTTCAAGCTAAATATTTTAGTCCTTTACTATTACAGAGAACCAAACTCTTTCTAAAAAAACCTGCAGTATGGGTAGTTATAGTCAAATGTGTCCATGTGAGGGCTTTGTAGATTTAGAATTCTTTTCAGTTTGTTAAATTTAAAAGCAAGTTTCATTTTATAGGAAGATATTGGCCAGAGGCTAAATTCTTTTGAATGGTGTGTGTAAAGAAGTATTAAAACCTCAGATGAAGGTTTTTGGATTTTCATAGCTGGAATTTTAATAAAATCTGGTATTTTTGACTAGTGCGGCAAAAACAGAAACTAGCTTCCGGTCTAAGCCCTGGGCAGCTGGTGATGCTTCAAAAAGAGATCTGCAGAATCAGCTATAGAACACAACCCCCGACTCCGGTGTTTCTGCGTTAGCGTAATAGCAGAGAACAATGTATCATCAATCAGATGTAGCTTCTGAAGCCTCTGCTAGTCGTTTTGTTTTTTCTCTGGGATATGGTAACGAGAACGGATCTTGGATTACCGGAGAAGTTCAACCGAACTCCGACCCCGGTGCTGGCTGAATATCACTACCAGAGGTGCAGACGTGTTTCAGACCGTTTGACTCAGAAGACCCGTAACCCGATTTGGACACCGGGGAGGAGTCCGTTAATCTTCAGAACAAAAATCGGAAGTTTATTAAGTTTTGTTAAATATTTCATTTCTGTGCTCATAGCGCTTCTACCGGGAGCTCTAAGCTGACAAGTTTCTCAGCTGATTATAGGTCTTAGCTCCATCATACTGTCCCAATATAATTCAGTAACCAACAGATAAATTAAATAATGCCCTGCCAGTTTTACCACTGCGTGTATATATTGATATAACTCCATACAATATTTAAGCGATTGCTTACCAGAATAAATCTTCCTGATGCTGGAGTAACTCGTTAGTTTGACTCGTTGTTTGCACTAATCCAGGATGGCCCCAGGAGGATCTATTGTTGAAATATGGGCAGGGTTTCCCTTACATAGGCGTAGCCGTGGCAAGCCACCACGGCTGAAATCCCACCGCCACGCCTACAAGATCCCAAGTTTTTTTTTTTTTTGCGCTGTTTCCCGAAGAAGCAGCGGGAACTACTATGTTGTCGCTTGTGATCACAGCCGGCGGGCAGCAAGGAGGAGCAGGCAGAGCAAGGTGAAGTTACAGCATAAGTTACTGAGTTTAAAATTAGAAAGGTAGCAGTGGATATAATGCTTTTTGGTTTACATGTTTCAATAGCATTAAGATAAACGAGTGTTGACGATCTTGCCAGGTTTCCTCCCCCCACCAGGCTAAGCATCACTTATTCATGTAAAATTTATTTATTTCTTATTCATGTAAAATTTATTTATTTTTTCATGTCTGACTTTAACCACATCTAATACTGCATTACGGCGTGAGCGGAACAGCGACAACTTAAGATCGATGTGGGAGCAGCGTGAGAGGTCGGGTGTTTTCATCTGAACCCTTAAAACCTCCAGCAGGCTACGCTGCACTATTGACGTGTTAGCGCGCGGCGCTAACAACTTAGCGACGTGACATGTCTCGGAGAAAGCGTAAAAACACGTTGGACGCTTCTTCTGAAGTGGGAAAATAACGCTTCTTCTTAAGCAGAGCACGACGTCGCCTCGGCTCGTTCACAGCCGAGCCGGTACCGGACTGGGCTCGATAACTGACCCAGCACAGCCACTGGGTCGTTGGAGCTGCCCCGTGACTGCCTGATGGAAAACCAGCGGGTTTCATCAGACTCGTAGTTTCTTGTTTTTGCTGGGGACCCCCTGTATTTTACCGCTCCCTCCTGCAGTCTTCCCCTTTTAAAATTTAAAATGATTCTGTAAATTCCGTGTATCAATAGAAAAAATCTCTGCCAGCTGCAGTAAATGTAGTTTCCAAATAATAAATAAGAGGTGCATTCATCTGTGTATCTCCTTTGATCCGCATTAGTGATATTCTCAGCACCAGAACAGTGAAGCAAATAAAGATTCCTGAGTTTGTTATTTATTAGGTGCATCTGACCTGTGCTATTTTTCTCTGAAATGAGATCAAATCAGTGCTTCTATGGGTTGTCTCCAATCTGCACTGGAAAATTTTACTTTATTTAGAGATGTGTCAGGATTTCTCCCCAAGCCCCCTCCCCCACCCACACACACACACACACACACACACACACGCACACACACACACACACACACACACACACACACACACACACACACACACACACACACACACACACACACACACACACACACACACACACACACCTGGAAAAATTCCTAGGGGAAACACTGATGGGTATCATCTTTTAGATTGTGGTTTTCCCAAATGACTTGTTTTTCCCTTACCGGAGCTAACAGTTAGCATTGTTGCTGCAGTCATGCTAACAGGACTCGTCTAGAGCAGTACCGGTGTGGTTCTAGATGGATTTGTAGATGTAGGTTATTATTTTAGATCAGACCGGTGTTATTTAAAAATGCGTGTACGACCCGGACATATGGCTCAGACATTTTGCTGCAGCTGTAAATGCAGTTTTCCATAATAAGTAAGAGCACGAAAGTAATCAAAGTACATTTATTCACAATACTTGCAACAGCAGCTACATTGTTTTACGTGTTGAAGTGACGTATGCGGAACACAGTCCTTCACTGTTTGGATGAGAAGATTTTGATTTTCTGTAATGATTTATGACAAAAGTTCTTAAGAAAATAAAACACTGAACCCAGTTCATATTCATATAGATGGTTAAGTGTAGTTATACTGAATTTCTACAATTTTAATGCCGAGTCTGGCCAATACCATTAAACAGTGCTTGATGTGGAAGCTGGATTTTTGCGTACCATTAGCGAACACAAAACTGCAGAAAAGGTGTAGCCCTAACACACCCACCTGTGGTACTGTGTCTGGAGGAACTGGAACTCCTCTTTAATGCGATCCAGAGTTTCTGGGTAGGTAAGTTTCAGAGACTGGGGTGTCCCTGAAGCTGCCGCCGCCGCAGCCGCAGCTGCAGCAGCCACCACCGAGGCAGAAGACCCCGGAGGTGGCTGCAGAGGTGCCTGAATAGACAGAAAATACTACATTTAGAGACAACAATAAGCATAGTTGAAAAACATACTTTCTTGGCACCTAAATTAAAATTTTGTGATAGTAGCCTTGTGGTATTAGTGAGTAGCCTGGCCTGCCAGACTCGTCCTCTGTTTAATTCTGCACAAAGAACCTTTCTCTGTGCAGAATTAAACAGAGGACGAGTCTGGCAGGCCAGGCTAATTAGTGAGGACATTTTATGTAAAATATTCACTTGTTTGGTTAAAAAAAATGTAGTTGTCATTTATGTTTATGTATATCTGTAAATAAGTCTGTAGGAGGCAGTTTAACACAGAAATCCAGGCAGAACCAGATGTGATAAGGTCAGCAGCAAAGTGGACTGAGCTTCTTAGCCAAATGAACAGACTGATGAACAAAAGAGATTAGAAGAAAGGAATAAAGAGCAAAATCCAGCAGCAGGCGGGTGAAGGAAAAGCACCTCATCATAGATGAAGAACCACCCCCAAACCCTTGCATATAGTCACTCTTCTCTGCAGGACTCAGAGCAATTAGGAAACTACAACTGTAGGGGTAATGCTGCAAGACAGGCAGACAAAAGGAACCAGAGAGCCGGCCAAAGAGGGTGGTCGGGGCTACCCATCTGTCTGTCTGACTGACTTTCAGTCAAAATAACCAAGCCAAGCAGCAGACACTTTCCAGGAGATGCAGTTTCAAGCTGGTGATCATTTTAAGTTACCATACTACGATGTTCTTGCAGCTGCCCACTGGCTCATTTCTGTACAGCTCAGACTTCCAAAAGGCTGATCACTTTTCCATGTACTGTCGCTCACTTTTCAAACACTGGTCTGAACAAACTATTGGTGGTCACAAATTCTACTTCAGTAGAATTATTTTTTACAAAAAGAGACTTTACAAGCAACCCAAAATCTGATTTCCAATGTTTAATCCCAAGTGGTTTTCACTATTGATTGTGCAAGTCACTATTCAGATCTGCAAGGTTAAAAGGGGGTGCCACTGCTTTTTAAGAGTGGACGCCATTAAACTCAGTTGTATTTTTTGCCAGATACATTTTTTGACTGGAGCCAAAGTTGATGTTTTGTTTGCAGCCATTTTTTCTCCTAAGAATGCACTCTATGTAGGAATTTTAACTACCGGTAGTTATCTTGTGTTGCTGCCAAAGGATTAGTTCAAAATGTTTCAACACTATCATGAAAAATGGGATAAATAGGTGAACTGTGTCTGCACGCAATTGGTCAGCGCTAGGACCACTAGAGCAACAAACATTCAGTGTGTTTACATGTGCATCAGAAAACCAAACTGTTGCCTTAAATAGACTGACATTTTATTTAAATGCATGTAAACGTGTTAGTCTTGCTGATGGCAAACTGGTTCTAATCGTGCTGAAGCACCCAACTTCATCTGCATGTAAATGACTCAGTCGGGCTGGAACTGGTAAAAGTGATCAGACTGCAGAAGTGGTCTTCTGATAATGTCATCGCCACAAAGTAACATGAGTAACACCATAAAACAGTACAGTACATACCAAATCAGCTGTGCTGCAAAGTTGTTGTCCATTCCTTCGACCATCGTACATTTCCTGTTTTAACTTAATTTGCTTCAATACTGCCAGAGTTTGTTAACTATTTGTGTTGCCATACACTAACTGGAAGAATACACACAGGAAAGGATGCATGTCGCCTTCTATTCCAAAGTGGAACAAACTTAATTTGAGAGTTTGGTTTTCTTACACACATGTAAACTAGGACAAAGGGTTCCAGTTTATTACCTTAGACCAACCTAGATCAACTTAGATTCGCTTGTAAACACACTGAATGTGAAATATTCATCACTACAGTAATCAGTCAACAGGGCAGTCTCCCATACACTATCAAAGAAGAAAAAGCAAATACATCATTTTCTAAATAAATTACTTAAGTACCTCTTTCTGCTCATGTCTTAAAAAAAAGCGAAGGTCTAAATAGTCCAAAGTTGATGCCAAAGGCATTTCAAATGAGCACTGTTCCTGAGCAGGCATTACCTTTGTTGGTTTTATCCATTGCAGCTCTAACGTTACGTCTGCCAACTAACGTAGAACTCTGATCGGCAAGACACAACATCACTCAGGCCAATGATAGACCTGCTGACACTCCAATGGTGCACGGATAGATCGACCTGCAAAGCTAAATTTTTTATGACACCTGATTAAATTGGACAAGTCAGAAATGATTCCCAAGAAAAAAGATGCTCAACTAAAAGCATAAATCAAAACCAATATCTGCTTTTTCGATATTAGCAATGCATGATTAAATTCAGCCTTAAAAAACAAACTGCAAAAACACATTATATAGAATTAAGCCAAAGTAACTTATCTGTCAAAAATAAGTGTTTTCTTGGTATCAAAATGTGTCTTTAAAACTCACGGATATCATATGTTAAATACATGGCACATATCAAACGGAATCCCTCCGTAGACTCCCATTTATGTTTTGGCCCGTATGGGACCCATAGTCCTGAAGTAGTAGGCATGACTTTATGGTGCGGTATGGGGGCCTAAATTAAGACTCATGCCCAGCAGCAGGAGGCTATATAAATTCTGAAGCAAACTACTGACCTGATTAATGATAAGCTGGCGCCGGTAACTGAGAGGGTGGCGCTGCTTACTGAGAAATAGCACCTTTACCAGCGTTACCACTAGATACGCTAGGGACTAGCAGACCTCGGCTGGTCATTGACTGGTTCACACACTCCCTCTGCTGTCTGTTAGCATGGATAGGCTAGCGTTAGCCTGGATGGGCTGGTGTTAGCATCGGAGAGGCTAGCCATTAGTGTGCATAGGCTGGCCACTAGCTGGATTTCCTACCTCCTTGACAGACCATTAGCATGGATAGGCTGGCGTTAGCATCGGAGAAGCTAGCCATTAGCGTGCCTAGGCATGCCACTAGCTGGATTTCCTACTCCCTTGACGGACCTTAAGCATGGATAGGCTGGCATTAGCATCGGAGAGGCTAGCCATTAGCATGTCTCAGAGAGTCACTAGTCAGCTAGTGGCCAGCCTAGGCACGCTAATGGCTAGCCTCTCCGATGCTAACGCCAGCCTATCCATGCTAATGGTCCATCAAGGGGGTAGGAAATCCAGCTAGTGGCCAGCCTAGGCACGCTAATGGCTAGCCTGTCCAATGCTAATACCAGCCCGTCGAGGCTAACGCTAGCCTATCCGTGCTAATAGACAGCAGAGGGAGTATGTGAACCAGTCAATGACCAGCCGAGGGCTGCTAGTCCCTAGCGAATCTGGTAGTAACGCCGGTAAAGATGCTATTCCTCAGTAAGCAGCGCCAGCCTCTCAGTTACCGGCGCCAGCTTATCATTAATCAGGTTGGTGGTTTGCTTCAGAATTTATATAGCCTCCTGCTGCTGGGCAGTAGTCTTAATTTAGGCCCCCATACTGCGCCATATGACTTAGGCTCTGTCTTTTCTTTATATTACACTCAACAAAAATATAAACGCAACACCTTTGTTTCTGCTCCAATTTTTCATGAGATGGACTTAAAGATCTAAAATTCATTCCAGATACACAATATTACCATTTCTCTCAAACATTGTTCACAAATCAGTCCAAATGTGTGATAGTGAGCACCTGTGCTTTGCTGAGATAGTGCTCACTATCACACATTTAGATTGATTTGTGAACAATGTTTGAGAGAAATGGTAATATTGTGTATCTGGAATGAATTTTAAATATTTAAGTCCATCTGATGGAAAATCGGAGCAGAAACAAAGGTGTTGCATTTATATTTTTGTTGAGTGTAAAATGATAAAAATAGTAAATAGAAAAGAAAGTTCTAATCTAAACTGATTTTATAAAGACTTGTCTGTGGTAGTGGGTTCTAATAGTGTTCATTTTTAGCTACATACATCAAACCAATGCCAAATACACATATTCGTTTATTTCCTGCACTAATTTGCTAGCTTAATCTCACTAACCAACACAAAGCCTATTCAAAAGGTTGACTGCTTTAAAAAAATGTTTCCTTTCCAAAAACAAGTGTAAGTTGCATATCAAAAATACCCGACAGACTCATTCAATGAAACTCCAGAAGTTCCCAGCAGGAGATTGTTGCCTTGATGTACAACCGTATATCAAATACGGAGGGGAAGAACACAAAGGAGGATGCATGGAGAAAAAGGCTTAGACAGGAGAATCAGAAGTGAAAGAAATGACTGAAAAAAGATAACCATAGAAGATGCATGATGCCACTTCTGAGAATTTACAGAAAGGTGTAAAACACTTTTTCCAGAAAGAACGAGACAGTGTTAAGGGTAAAAAAGGAACAAGGGCAAAAAAAAAAAAGATAAATAGTAGACAGAAAATAGGCGTTGGCCTCATTATTCCCCTCTCTTTCCAACAAGCTGCTCCCAATCTGTCTGCCAGATCCCCCACCTAGAGTATGGAGCCACATGCACACACTTCTAAAACTAAACACACTCAAACCAGCCATTACACACTCTCCACCCATAGATAAACATGCCTGCTAGTCAGTCCTGCTCACACAAACGCACACTCATTTAAAGATGGTAGTTAAGACTTCTATGATTCATGCCATCTAGATGGATACATGTGACAGATACATGAACATATTGACCCTGGGCCATCACACATAACCTCTTTCCTGATTCCTTGCAATTCCCATTAACCAGTGCTATTAGTCTGTGCCGTCTCCTGATCTGGCAAACAGCTGAGCAGGTTTTAAAGTGTGAGGTCAGGCCATTAAGACGACCTGGTGACCTCAAGGGAATAGATCTAAGCAAAGAGTCTCACCTGATAATCCCACAGTCAGTTATTACCTCCCTCCCAGCTCGAGAACATGTGAGAGATGTACCGTCTGCCCTTGAACAAAGCTTACATGGAAAATCACCATTACACAATTAGAGGTTCTGCTGCTTAGACAAACGTGAAGTCAGCTTCCATAATACTGACCGAAGAAGAACATCACATGATTGGATGATGTGAGTT